GTTGACATCGACACGTCAACGATCCGTGTGCTTGTTAGGTAAGGATTGAGTGTGTTGGAAGCGCCATGTAAGCGATCCGTGTGATTGTTAGGGTTATCTGCCACATCATCCATCCACTAGGACTGAAATGGATGGTGGGGATAAGATTTTATCTCCTTGTACTTGTTGGTGAGAGCTATATAAGGGAGAGTAGAACCATTGTTGGTATCTCTCATCTTTAGAATTTATGTTTTCATCTTCGAATGAACTTCTCTCTAAACCCTAGTGTTACCTTTGTTTAAGTTCATACAATGATTTCAACAATCTACAAACCAACCTCTCCTTGCCTTTGACCTCAAAGCTAAATGATTGTTTCATGTAGATCTACTCATATAAATATCCATGAAGAAAGGTTGTAATCACATTCATATGATTCATAACAAGACTTAATATTGCGGCCAATGCACATATTAGACGAATTGTAGCATACTTTGCTACATGACAAAAAAAAATTGTTGTAATTCACACTCTTCTTCTATGTGAAACCTCTTGTCATCACCTGGCTTTGAAGATTCTTGTTTTATCTCCTGCTCGATTGTCTTTCAGCTTTTACACTCACTTAGAGTCAATCAATGTTTGATTTTTAAGAAGCTCAACCAACTCGCAAGTTTTGTTATCAATCAGTAACTACATGTCCCGCTCCATAGCAACATTTTACTCAAGCTTGTTGACCGAAGCTTGAGCTTTCTTGTATGAAGAAGATTCACTTTCTTCCAAGATCAACGCCATACCGTATTCATCCTAAAAATCAAGGTCACAATATTTGAGAATGGATGAATGGGCCCATACATCAAATCTCTCAAGAGCTCTATTAGTACGTTGTGATCTTTTAGTAGACGTTTCCATTTGATCTCTATCGTCTGGTACTGTTGTAATATGCTTATCATCGATAATCTGCTCCTGTAGTTCATGCTCTTCAAGAATTTGCTCCACATGCATTGATGCTTCTTTTTGTGACAGATCATTAATGATAGAAGTATCAATCACCTCCACAACAACATCCGTGAGTAAAGATTTCTCCTTGTAAGTAAGGAAAGCCTCAAAATTTTCCCTGCTTTCAATATGTCAGCTCATTGAAAGAAACATATTTACTAACAACCATCTTACGGGCAACTTGATCCCATAGCCTGTAACCTTTCAGTCCACTAGCATATCCAAGAAAACGATATTTTTTGGATGTATGATCTAATTTAATCTTGTGCTTCTTAGTTGTGAGAGTATAAGCATTACAACCAAAAATTCTCAAATGACTATATTACGCCTTCGTTTATGACTCAGTTCAAACGGTGTTAAGAAACTGATTGCACTAAAAGAGGAAAGGTTTATCAAATAAATTGCGATGTTGACAGCTTTGGCAAATTTCACGGTAAACCTTATTCGCTAAACATACTCTGCACCTTCTTCAACATTGTTCGACTGAGTCGTTCAAAAATAGAGTTTTGTTGTGGAGTATAAACCTTCGTGAAATGGCGAGTGATTCCCTCCTCTGTAGAATACATCTGAAATTTCTCACTAGTATACTCGTCACCATTATCTGATCGTAGATATCTCATATTGTGTCCAGTCTAAGTCTCAAATTGTATGCGCCAACTTTTGAAGGTTGAAAACACTTCAGACTTGTGGAAAAAAATATATACTCACACATACCTCTGATTTCAATTCTAATGGTAAAACTCGAGATCACACTAAGCAAGCCAATAACACAAGAGACATAGAAGACACATGTATAACGTGGTTCACCCTCAAGGGCTACGTCCACAAAGTAATACACTCGAAAGAGTTTACCACTTGAAATGAAAACATAACATTATCCGCAGAAGCATCAGGGTATATATATCCAAGATAGGCGATCAATCTTAGCTTTAAATAACTACACATGAAATTACTGCTTAATCAGAGTTAACCTCAACACATAATAGTGAAAATTTTAATTTGATTATTCTATTTTTTTAAGTACATGCATGCTCATTTTAGCAAATTATCAATCCGACATTGAAAAATATAATTCTAGTTGAAATTTGCATTGAAGATGAAATATTTGATTAAGTCTAAGAAAATATTAGAAATGAAGATTCATAGAAATTTGAAGAAAAAAAGATTTTGATTGAGTCAAGGTAAATAAGTTGAACTTATGTATAACATGTTAAGCATAAAAAACTCTAAAGGAGTTGGATTTCTTTGACATGATACTCTAAATATGTTGCAACTTGATGTCCAATTAATGCTTTTGAAAAGAAAAAGATGTCATCGATTTTATATGACAAAGTTGTGAACGACTTTATGTATTTGATGATCTTCACAAGATCTGATAATTCTCTAGCTATAAACAAAATGAGCATGTATACGTTGAATTCAAGAAAGATGTAGTGAAATGAATTATATGTATCTAAAAAGTACTAAGGATTATGATCTATTGTTTCATAAACTATTAAACAATGTCAAAGTCTTGTTTAATTAAGTTAATGATGAGTATGGACAAGATTTGAAAAATAGTAAATCACAACTAAACATATATTTATACTTGATGAAGAATGCATTAGTTAGAAATTTTTTGTGCAAAAGTATGTAGCTGAGTTCACAATGTATGCTATATATATAGCAAAAGCAACAGAAACACTACTTAATTGAATAGATTTCTTGTCAAGTCAAGATTAAAACATGAGGTTGTTAATCTTCATTGTGATAATCAAAGTGTGTTACATCTTGCTACAAATCCAGTGATGGATAGTACAGTGAAGCACATCCACATTATGTATCATTTTATCATATATGCAGTTTACATTAAAACATTATTACTATGCAGGTAAACTCATTCCACCTGATTTGTTGAACAAAATTATTACTTTAGAGAATAACAAAACAATAGAACTATGCATTTAAACTCATTCCGCCTAATTTGTTGAAAAAAGTTATTACTTTACAGAATAAAAAAAAAACGTTATAACTATACAAAGTTTGCATGAGGAGCATCATCATAGTTTACTTGCATATTTTTTACCTCTTTATATTTGTATTCTTTCATGGTTCAGCTATGGCTTAATTATAGTTAGCTTTAGTTTTAAAAAGAATCAATGTTTGATTTTTAAAAAAATTCTTGTACATTAATTATATGAATTATACAGATTATTTTCTCCACAACATTATATAAGGAGTAAATTTTTAATATTTATACAATTAGTAGGTTAATTAGAGTTAATTCATTTTAATTTGGATTGGTTTTTGGCTTAATCCTAGTTAAAGTAAGATTCAAGATCTTGTCACCCATTATATATAGTAAGAAAATCATAGTTGAGAATTTTCTTTACCAAAGTTTGAGTAAATAATTTCTTGTTCTTGTGAATGTAGTCAGAGACCGACTAACCACATATGTCGATTTGTGTGTGTCTTTCTATGTTTGTTGATTTTTTGTTTTTTTATAGTACTTCACCTTTTTATTATAGCATCAAATGCTCTAATTGCAAGAATTTAAACTTTTGCTATGTAGTTTTCATTGTTGCATGAGAGACTTTCATATTTGTAATAACAAAATCTATCTTTCCCTTAGTAATCTAGTCACAAATCCAATCCTATCCTACATGCAAGAATTACACTAATAGATTTATCATTTTTATATAACATTATATATGAACTCAATATTATATATGTTAACATCATATAGATTATTTAAGTTGTGAATGGCTTATCAATTTCGCCTACTCACATTCCAAAGATAGTGATTGATATGTTGCATTTGTACAAACTCCATGTTTCAACATTTTAGAGTATATATCTTATATATGTCAAATATTTTGATCTATCTATTCTAAAATAAGTAGATCAAAATATTTCTAGAATCTTTAAGAGAAAACATGTCACATGTCATTACACTAGAAGCTAACTCTCTCATGATATAGTGTTCATCTTCATAAGATGAACTTAAACATAGTTGGGTAACAACTGACAGATTAGGGTTAGTTCTGCGTGGAATGGGCTCTTCGGCGTCATTTTCTCCTTGCACTATTTTTGGTGTTTCCATTTTGTGACATAAAGTCAAAACTTTGGTTCATTATCATATTATGAATCGATGTATTAGTTAGAGTGGATTCCATGGTATACCTACCATATGGAGCTCATTGAAAATCATCACCATAAGGTGTCCTTTGACGGCTGTATAATTCCTTAAAGGAAGAACCTCAGGCATTTTATCAGTCCATTCTTCCTACACTTCTTGACCCAATGTGCTCTGATGTCGTAAAAGTTGCAAGAACCAGTCTTGTACCTTCCTGCTCTACCACAGAAGTTATAATCTACTGCACCTTGACTTACTTCGGCGCCACATGAACATGCATGATCACATCTAGCAACTTCTTATGTCCAATGCCTAGCATGATTATGCTAAATGTTAAAAGATATGGGAGCAGCTTTGTAAATTTATTGTAAGCCATTTTGAGCACATGAATTCCGAAACTCAATGTGAACAAGATAATCATACATGAGAAATAAGCCACAACTTATTACATTTTCATCTGTCACGACATAGTTTTGTTAGGAAGAGTACAAGATCCTATAACGATCAGAAACATGTAAAACTTCTATACTTCTAGTTTTGTACTCTTAATGTCAATTAGATACTGGTTATTCGTTCAAGAAATAATAATAAAAAGTCAAATGATTATTATCCCATAATTTCATATTACCCATTGCATGAAGAGGTATCGGAGGAGCTGCTGGTGAAACAGCCTTGCCTTCCGTATGTCTATGGTTGCTTATTGCCATGCCGCATTTTTTATTCTATGCATCCCCTATATCCTCCATACAAAAGCCCATGGTAAAAAATCTCGCTCAAAATCTTAAGTGGATTATTAGAAGGAAAAATGCTTGGCTAAGGGTCGCACTTCTGAAGATAGACTTGTCCGTCGTCGGTCAGCCTCCAACCCTAAGGCCTTGGGAACTCCGGATAGCAATCAATCATTCGCAGGTGTGGAAGACTTCGGATCAGTCAGATTTGATGGAGACAATTTGGAGATAAAGCACAAGAAAAACAAAAAAGAAAAGTCGGGAAAAAGCAGCTATGGCGCCGAGACTAGCCACCCAGTCCGGTTCGGCTCAGAATGTCCGCGGCCGGGGAAGGAGGAGAAGGTGGACACTGAGGCCATTGCCAAACTGACATCGCCATTAGAGAAACGGAAGGCTTCGTTTGGGCCACCTTCTCCTCCTCCCTTCGTTCGCTTGGCAATCTTATCCCCTTTTCGTTTGGCAAAACCTTATCCCCTATCTGCCAAAGCCCAGGGGCTTCTTCTGCCCTGCCCTCCTCGCCTGCAGAGCTCTCTCGCTCTCTCTCACTCCAAACCTTCTGCTCGAGCTCGAGGCATTTCTCTCACTCGCACATTCAGCCCCGAGCTCTCCCTGCCGCTGTCGAGGTCGCGGAGAATTGTACATTAGATCACCACAGAGATTATGGCAATGGCGGCCGTCGCATCCACCAGCGTCATCGGAGTGGCAGCAGCCCCAAGGGCTGTGGCAATCTCCGCCCCCAAGACCGTGTCGTTGAGGCAGAATGGAATGATGGGAGCTCCCCTGAGGAAGTCCGCAGGAGTGCGAGCCGTGAGGAGAGCGGGAGCCAGAGCCGTCGTCACTGCGCAAGTCGCCGAAGCTGTGGATTTGGACCAGCTCGTGAGCACCATCAAGAATTTGACCTTGGCCCAGGCCCGGACTTTGGTCGACACCCTGCAAGAGGAGTTGGGAGTCACCGCCGCTGCCTTCGCCCCTGCTGCTGCCGCGGGCGGTGCTGCACCCGCCGAGGCTGCCGCAGTCGTGGAGGAGAAGACCGAGTTCGATGTCGTTCTGGAAGAGGTTCCCACCGCTGCTCGTATCGCCGTGATTAAGGTCATCCGGTCGCTCACTGCTCTCGGTTTGAAGGAGGCCAAGGACCTAATTGACGGCCTGCCCAAGAATGTTAAGGAGGCCGCAGGAAAGGAGGACGCCGAAGACGCCAAGAAGCAGCTCGAGGCTGCCGGAGCCAAGTGCAGCCTCAAGTGAGGTGACTTCGTGGGATCGATGAGTTGAGAATGTAACTCATTTTGTAGTGCAGTGTAAGAAACACACGATTATTCGCTGTTAGGATTACAGCTGAGCTTTTCGTCCTCGTCTTCGTAACAATTGTTGCTTTTGCAGTCTTAAAAATTAGCTCTGCTCTTAGGCGTAGTTAGACACTTACTACCCTTCCTCCTTTGCTGAGGAAGGAATGGAGGTTGGAAGAGTATCCTCATGTGCTGAAAGAACTCATTTGTATATTTTCTTTCACATTATTTAACGCCGAACCGAATGGTTCTCTTTCATATTGTGTTTCACACATTCCTCTTTCTGACCTATTACTTGCTCTCTGGTAATGGTCGTTTTCTAGACGTAGTTCAACAGTAATGCATCTGCGCATACGCTCATTTGACCTGAATACTTCCAGGGTCGCACCGGCCCCATGAAATGCTACTTGTTCTGATTAACAGGAATGTCAGGTTTGAATGTTTGGAAGGAGGTCAGGAGAAATATAATGAATCGACAAAACAAAAGGCTGTGTGCCCCGTCACTATAATGTAAGAAGACACGGTCTGTCGTTCCGAATATAGCTGGACTGCGCGGAGCCCTATTATCTGAATGTCCTCTAGATTGCGATCATGGATCTATCTTCCGACTTCCATCGCGAAAGACAGATGAACTAACTCATTCGAAGCTGTCGAGGGTTCACTTACTCTCTGTGCACTCTTCGGTCGACTAAAAAATGGCCACAGTTCCCCAGATACAGTCGAACATGAAGGGTTTTAGCGACTGTAAGTGCACGTGTAACATGATATCCTGAAACGATGTAAGTACACAAACCTGTAACACATCATTTCTTATGCTAGAAAAAAATATGTGCAGTACATGAACGGTTGTGGACTGAAAGAATGCTTACAAGATCGGATTAGATATTCGAATCATACAGACAGCGTCCGACCTCTGGGCGAACAAAAATTAGTAGCGCACCGCATTAAGACTCGAGCGTTACAACATGAAATATGTTATACCAGTAAAGCCACCACACTAGCGAAAATTACACACGTCCAAATCTTCCACTCACCGTAACGTTGGATCGAGGGATGTGAAGCCTGCACCTGTTGCAAATGTTACTTGTCAAGTAATCAACCTTCTACCTGGTGCTCTCGTTACAGTATGAAGTAAAATCCATAGAAGTAGAATCCATCCCAGCCCTTGAAATGTGGATGGATGACTTAACCCACTACTCTGTGACACAGGAGCGAACATCTACAGTGCCATGCCTCCAAACACCATGTACTCATGTTCACCTCAAACGCCTAGAGCGGCGAATATCTGGGGGTCAATTCTGAGTTCATAATCACATCGGCACAGATAATGAATTTGCTACGTAGATTTCACGGCGCAGGTCCTTGTCCTGTGTCGCGGAAGATAGGGCTGTAGCTTCAAACCCTACATGTCGAGGGCCAACGTCCGGTGAGAGAAAAGAGCCAAGGTTAAACTATGTAGCAGCTGCGCGACTATACCCTCGCGTGAACATCATCGAGCATTGCAAGTTTGAAGATTTTGTTTCTTCTCATGTGGTGACATAACGTCCTCATGCATTTCGCTCATGAAGCTCTTAAAAAATCAACTTCCAGGGCAGCTTCAAAATCTCGCTGAGTTCATCACATGATCAGCATATACCCAATACGCATGCAATAGCCATTCACATGTAACTTGCCAGCATGAGCACTCAATCCCAGTCCTGCTACTTTGAGATAGGGTTTAGCACGATGTAGGACAAATCATAATTCTTGTTTCAATCCTTGGATATTATGCATATTGTGTCTTACACTTAAATACCATAAATATGTATTTTACTCATGTGACATACTTAGCCTCAGTTTTTATTTTGCATGATATTGTATGCTGACACTTTAATATCATGTTTTCTCATATAAAATTATGTCAAGTTGAGACATATATGTAGTGATATATGTATGTATGTATGTATATTGTAATGTGTTTCATTCGATTTGATACTCTCATCTTTTTTTCCTCTTCGTGAACGTTTTCTCATAAACTTAAGTAAAAAAAAGTTTCACTTTACATTTGTGATACACACAAACTATCTACATTACATATTGTGTTCAAATTTACATAAATTGTAAGAATAAATTTATAACATTTTCCATAAATTTAAGAATTATAATTCATTTCTGTAGAAGTAATTAATTAGAAAAAATAAATGTTCAGTAAAAAAAATTTAGGTTCATTTATTTTCATAATTATTTATGAAAAAAATTTAAATTCTTATAAATCCGACGTTTAGAATCATTCTTCCAACTAAGTCAAATTCTAGTTTATTAGAAAAAATTAACTCAATTTATTTGAATATCTTAAATATAATCAGGGTAAAATTAATTTTAAAATAATTAATGTATTTCGAAAATATTTCAAATTTCTTAATTAATAAGTTTATGCAGACATAGAATTATAAGGCTATATAGCCTTAGAACTCTAGTATGTACCGAGTTTTCAGTTTTCAAATTATTACTAAAAAATATTATGTGTTGTTTGAATGGATTTAAATTCTTTACATAAATGAATTTTACTTGTCATAGTTTTGAATTAATACTTAATTTATACATCAAGGAAGATTTGTAAAATATAAGAATTTATATCTTTTTTAAGGTTTTGAAATATGTTTTTCTAATTATTTTTTATTTACTTGAATCATGAGATAGATAATTTAAAATGTATAAAAGTGGATTTTTTACTGAGAAATTTGATCGTATAGAAAATATTACTCAGAAACTTAAATATTTTTAAAGTGAATATTCTGAATTATTTTATTCTCTTGAAAATGATTCTAAATTATTTTCAAAGGTTTTCAACTTTGATAAAGAGATGTGAAGGAACCAAGGCCAAGAAACTGCAATTCTTGATAGTCTACATGAATTAGTCTGACCATTGACTTCTAATAAGGTGATGGATGTTGTTAAATTTAAGATCAGAACTCACAGATTATGAAACAAGAGAATCTTGAAGATTAAAAAGCTATTCGATGTGCAAATTATCATGAAAATATGCCTGGATTTCTGTAGCATTTATACAATTATGAAAAACGTGTATAGGTAAAATGATTTTATCTGAATAGGTGTTTGATTATAATTTATTTATATGGATTTAAGGATGAGTCATTAGAAAGAACAATAACATTCTTTGCATTATTACACGCCAAGCTCACATCAAGTATTAAAATATCCACATTTTTAATACCAATGCATTCAATATATGAAAAGTTGTAAAGGAACCAATACATGAAAACCAAGTGATATGAAAAATTTACATCACCTTGTTAAAAATGAAAGTGTAAGTTAGAGAGGTGCTACAATACCATGACAGAAAAAGACATATTTTAATATACCTCATGTATACCATTCTTTTCTGTCGTACTATCTTTCAACTACAAGAGCACATTAGTAAGCATTACCCAATCTGATTATTCATTAGTTTAAAAAATAATCATGAAAATTTTCACTTATATGATTTTTTCTGATAATTTGACTGCACAGTTTATCACGTATGGAAAAGAATTTGTATTAACGACACCTTTATATAATAATATAATATTTCATGTGAATATACACATACACATATAATAACATGTGATTTAAACTTGATGTATTAAACATGTTTTACATGATTTGGAAAGTAGATCAGAATTTTTTGAAGACATTAGAGTTAGTCAGAATTTAGAAAAAAGTTAGCAACTTTTTTTGGAATAGTAAAAATTCATATTTAAACATAGATCATCCATAAATGAACACCTGATTGTTAAGTGTAAAAAATGTAAAATTCTTTTAATACTTAACATAATAGTGCTAATGTGATTTAATGTAGATTTATATCAATATGTTCTTTTAACCCCATCCTACTCCTTTTATTATTTTTCCGAGTATGACTTAAGGATATCTTCCCATACTTTTATTATTGTCTACGTTCACTTACCTCTAACTAAATAAGACTTTTCCTCGGCCACTTAAGAGTGATGCTTTATACAATTTACGAACCAAGCCGAGGACCAAAAATATAGAGCACTCATAATAGGCACATAATCAAATACATACAATATACATACTTAAGTCAAATTACAAACCAATGAAACCATAAGAACTTATAAAGGTCCACTTATTTCACTGTCGTAATCATAAGGACGCATTTATCACAACCTCGTGTCATATCAACCGGAGTCAGGGCCACCGCTCATTCCGCGAAGGAAATAATCTTCCCAATCTCCACCTAACACGGCAAGAACTGAGGAAGATTCTAGTCGGATTCCAGAATCGAACTAGAATCTACGTTGACTACATATGAACACCACCGAGCACAGCCTTCGATCTCCCGAGGCAGCCAAGGCACAGAATCATTCGCCTTCGTTTCGTAATCAGGTTCAATGGCCGCGTTCGCAATAGCAAAGACAATCCGGTCCTGTCACATCTTTTTTCTAATGAGAAAACATGTCACCAATCACAACAGTTAGTAAGGCTTTATCTCTGCCTTCATTAATCATAGAAAAGCTGCAATGGAATCCATGTGGCTCAGCACCACAACGCTTCGCAGAGATGAGGTCCGGCATTGGAGTTGCATGGCGATGTACCGTCTTTGACCTAAATGTGTCGATCGATGATCAAATATACTCCAAACAGTCGAGGCTCATTGTCCTCGGTTTGACAAAAGGGCTTTATTCCATGCAAATGTGCAGGACTGGAGTCTCGAACGAACACCGAAACAACATCTTTGCACAATGATGAGTCATAACATCCTCCAAACAGTCGAGGCTCATTGTCCTCGGTTTGGAAAAAGGGCTTTATTCCATGCAAATGTGCAGGACTGGAGTCTCGAACGAACACCGAAACAACATCTTTGCACAATGATGAGTCATAACGCGCGCGAAAGAGGGCCCGACCGAGGTGGACACGTCAAGGTCGTGAAATGCTTCAGACATCGTAGTCTCGGCAGGTGCTGACTCCGGCGAGGTAGGAGGGCGATTCTGTGGACTGAAGATCTGCCCCCGAACCGACCCGGCTCTTGTGCCAACCCCTTTCACACAGCACCAACTGCTCGTTCTTCGGGCGGGGCCCATCTCCAGCTTGTCCATTGGGGAGCCCGCGACGCGACGGGACGGGATAGTTGGGGTTACCCGCGCCGCGTGACTCTGGACGGCGTCGCGGAGCAGCGAGGGCGTGACTGGGCCTGGCTGCCGACGTTGCAAAAGCGTTCGTTGCGTACATGTACTTTTCCCGCTGAGTCAGTGAGTACACGCACTTGCTTGGCATCTGCTCTGCTCTGCTGCTGGTGCTGCTGCCACGATCCGGGCCTTGCTCCCCCTCGTGACTTTTCCTCCACCCTTCCTTCACCCATCGTCCGTTTCCTGCCCCCCCAGCTCCCCCAGCTCCCCCTCCTTGCCCTCCTCCCCCCGCCCCTTCCTTTCGGGGCCCTGTATCTGTCTGCTCCTTTGAATTTCGAGCTACCACGCAGGCACCTGCTGCAACTTGCAGGCTGCGAGTTGCGCCCGAGTGTCCGAATTCTCGGACTCTGATCCGGCTCCAAGTCTCTCGCCTTCTTCGTTGGGGCGCCCCCCTTCGCTTGCTCCGCGAGTCCTCGCAAGGCTGCTCAATGTTTGACTTCGGCAGGACTCGGGCGCCTTGCGGGCAGATTTGATCTCCAGCTCGTCCATCCATCCGTCCGAGCAGCGACGCTGGGCGCGTTGAAGTCTCTTCGTGCAAAACTGAGGAGGAATCATCTTTTCGAGACTTCAAGAGTTGCTCAATCGTTGTGAGCATCGATATGATTTTGACATCAGAGATTTCATGTGGCTGAGAAAAATCCTCATTCCGAGGGAGGGAGGGAGGGACTGACTGACTGACTGACTGAGAGGTGTATAAGCGTCGGGTGCTTAGACGGGGCCACTTTCTGAAGGGGCCGAAGGAAGTAATTAATGTAGGCTCGTCGTGGACACGATGGACGTGCAATCTTTGGGCAAGGCACACGTTTGGAAACATTCAGGAATCCCAGCTAGAAGCAATTCGATTCTGCGCAGGGATTTCTCCGAAACTCTGGAGATCAGGGCTTTGAACTTCTCGGGCTGGGTTCGAAATCCCGGTGGTGCAGGAAGCTTTTCTTACTCTGTGTTGAGATCGTCCTACCGCTGGAGATCTACTCACGGGAATTGGCCATCACCTCACTTCAGAATATGCGTCCAGAAGCTCAATAGCAGAAAGAAAAAGGCAATAGTTAGCAACTGGACGGAACCCGAAGATGATCCTTCGGATTTCGAGCTTCAGCCTCGTGGAGGCCCATATTCCAACGGGCTTTCGAATGGATATGGGGACGAAGCTGAGACAGGTACACCGCACAAGTATTCTCAATCGTGGACGTGGAATGTTATGGAACTTATCGATAGGGCTGCTGACTACGCGGATGAGCAGAAGGAGATTGGGATGAGGAAACGGCGAGCTTTCTACAAGGCAGACGACTGGATTAGACACCGGAGCTCGAAACGACACGTCAGGCACTTTTTATCCAGCTTCTCGTCCCGAGTGATTATTTCCCTGATTCCGCCCGTGTCCACGGTGACGTTGATAGCTACAATAATTGCTATGTATAACAGTGCGGTGGAGGATCACTTGCTACCATCTTTTTGCTTCCTCTTACACACCTCGTCCCTCCCGTACCAACTCACTGCTTCTGCTCTGGCCCTACTTCTCGTCTTTCGCACGGAGGCTTCCTATTCTCGCTATGATGAAGGGAGGAAAACTTGGACCAAAGTTTTTGCCTGCACCAAGGACTTTGCCAGGCAGACCATGTCATGGATTCAGCATCCACAGGATAGTTACCGGAGATTGGATCTGCTGCATTATATCATGTCCTTTCCAGTTGCACTCAAGGTGAGAAGTGTCTTCGTGAAAGAAAATTTCTCTATAATCCAATTTTTTTTATTATTAACTTTGCTGTGGCCGGCGTCAAAATGATCAGTGTCGCTGACTGGGCAAGACAATGTCATATCTGCAGTGCCATTTGCTTGACGGTTCAGATATTGAAGAGGACTTGAAACTACTACTCGACGAAGAAGATCTGGCTCTCGTTCTGAGCTCTGATCATCGTCCCAACTGTCTCATCCAGCTTATGACGCAGAGTATGGGACTTGTAAACCTTAGTGATAATCAAAAATCTCTTATGGTAAGTTCCTATCAGCTTCCGTCTTTCTTTTATGTCTGCTGCTAATCATAGATTTCACCATCTCCATAGGTCATGATAGTTCTTGATTGCTCTCTGTATCATAAGGACAGAGTAGTCTGACCTGTTGCAACGCACTCAGATATGTACAAGTTGTGGTGTCCAAGTTAACTTCCGTCTACTGATTTGACGTGGTGGGTTTCAGGATGCCAATATCACTCAGTTTAACGAGAGTGTAAGTGTGTGTGAGCGGATAGTCCGCACTCCTATTCCCCTGTCATATACTAGACTCACTTCGAGAGCTTTAGTGCTTTGGCACTTGACTCTTCCAGTTGTTTTGTGGGACGACTGCGGGTGGATGGTCATCTTCGCAACCTTCTTCAGCGCGTGTACCTTGTTCTGCATCGAGGAGGTATAATCGTCGCACTTAATGTCCTTCAGTTTCAGGAAGTTCCAATTTGAAACATTCAGGAACCCTTTTCAGACATTTCAACTCCTTGCCTCGTCACTCATCGATGCTACAACTTTGTGCATGATTGCAGGTGGGAGTGCTAATCGAGGAGCCCTTCCCAGTTCTGTCATTAGACAAAATGTGTGCCGTGGCACACGAAAATGTACAAGAGTTTGTGGAGCTTCAGGAAGTTACAAATGATTACTTGGTAAACAAGGAGAAGATGATGAGAGGAATGGTATCCATGGGACCTGCAAGAGTAGGGACGAACGGCTCAGTTCCAGGTAAGTGAGAGAACTTGTATAGATATAGTGTTCCTAGAGTCTAAAGCCTATCCAGGAACCAGCGCACCAAGCATGAAGCATGAAGCAGTGGCAGTAGCGGAGATGTGCGGATGACGTTCGTTACAAGCCATTAACAAAGTGCACTCCATATATTATAATCAATGTAAAGTGGTCATGCCTCGGGCCCTAACATCTCCTAGTTCGGACATGTGAAGAAAGCTCGCGCTGCATCAGCCCCGTGAACATCATGTCTTTGGAGAGGTCGAAGCATAACTTTGTGAGCTCTGTGGTTTCACTCTTTTCTGCCGCGTGCAGCACGAGGAGATTGCAGGAGTGAATTTTACACTTGAGCTTGTGAGGCCTTTCGGGTCCGTTGCAGCTTACCTGAGTACGGCATTTTGAAAGAACAGTAAAACTGAGCCGATAGACCGTGAGAGAAGTAGGTTTTAGATATGTAAATAGTATGAGAACATCTAGTGATCTGGATGCTATGGAGTGAGGAAGTTTTGACAGATTTTGAGCGCCAGAGTAGGAGGGTAACTGGAGGCCGAGTCGTGTGTTCTGGGTGTTTGGCACACTTCTGCCCGTTGTTGGTAGTCGACTCTGAAGGTGTATGATGATCGTGGATAATGATAGAATGACCCAAATGAAAGATACATTAGTTTCTCACCAGGTATTGTTAACTGAGGAAAAAATGTTGCAGAATTTATTGCGAGCAGATTTTTTTTCGGTTACATTGTCAATTCATTTTCCTGGTCATTTCGGTAAGTACTGCCGAGTTTTTTTCGTTTTAGACGTGTTCATAGAAGGTAAAAGGTCTTGTTGTTATGTATTTATTATCTAGGTTCAAAATCTAACAAGTTAAGCTTATGTTGCAGAGTTTCGCTTTATAATTGGCGCTGAAATTTAACTTCTCAGTTTTAAACTTAAACTTTGACTTTCCCAAGAACTTAAATCGGTCTTCTCAAGTGTATACTTTAAAGCGCAAAATTTGAACATGCATCGCACTGCTGAAGAAGCTCCATCATGTATGATTCATGTCCAGCTGCAGTTTCATATGTCAATACACATAGTAAAATGTGCATGCAGAGCGTGGGCACGCAACAGTCTCACTCTCACGTACTCTCCAGCCATGAGGTATTGCAGCAACAAATGAACAAATTATTTTTACTACGTACAATACAGAATATTGTACAATATTTCTCACCGTTTTTGTGATAAAGTAGTAACTACGATGTACAAATCTTTAGTCTTCGCTTGTGACTTACTACAACTCTCCGTGGCACTTTCCACATTCGTACACCATCCAGTTGTGTTCGGGGCCAGCATAATCATATTTTGAAACAACTATCTGCTACAGTTCAGTATGTTAGTTTCTCTAACTTTTTAAGGAGATGTTATATAATTCTGAGCTTTGCTCTTAGTCCTGCTAAAGTTATTTTCGCACATACTGTTTCAACAATGGATTTGTTTTGAAGTACACCATATAATGTAGATTTAGATTCCAAAACAGTACAAAATGCAGCTTCCATCCGCCCGGCGTGATTGGACTTGTACATTGACAATTGCATCCACGAGAATAACTCGATGGGAGGTACCGCAAAGCTCAGAAGCTCTCTTACTACTGGTAGAGAGAAAACTTGTGTAAAAGTCATTGCTGTGTAAATTTACAACCTTTGTATCTGAGATATTGACTTGGAAGGGCCATAGTTGCCGAAACATTAAGTGTACATTTCTCCAGCTACTCCCTACTTCCACGACTTTCCGTATTTCGCACCAATCTCTGATCATCCTCAAACTCGTCTTGATTGTATTCAAGTGTAGCCGGTGCACTCTGTGTGTAAGCTAGTGATCCCAAATTACTTGGTGAAGATGTAGAAGGATCATTCGATTCAATGCAGGAGTTTTCATTGTCCAGAATAAACGCATGATGATGTGGTCTATTTGCTGCGGGAGTGCTGACGGAAAAGTCAATCAGATCAGGGAGTCGCTCACCGAGGTTAGCAGGTAGACTTGAAGTTTGCATTCCCGGTTGCATGCCATTTGCCATCAGCTGTGGCAGTCCATTGTTTTGCAGGGGTGTATATAGACCGTTGCCACGTCTCCACATTAACCTATTACCCTGGAACATTTTATAGAAGCCGAAGTAGGTCGAGGATTAAAAGTCGTGACATATGCACCTCTAGTCATACTGGAGAACGGACAAGTTCAAGCACACATCGATCCATATTTTTCCACTCCAGTAATCCAGTTGACCAGTAGTAGCACGCGGATATTCTTCGAAATTTGCTTTGCTATGCATAAGCTAGGAAGATAAAATCAATCTAGTGGTGTCTTGTCCAGAGCAAAGTGTTACGTGCACGACTGTCCAGCAGTACAAGTGACTTACCAGTTGCAGCCCGACGAGCCTTTCTCTAAGCTTCACATTTTTGAAGGTTAGCACACCAAGCGCCGAGATCACCATAGTTGAGCCGATAATGAAGAATAGTCCTTCAAGCCCCACAGAGAAACCACTACACAACAAACGAAATAATCAGCACTGATATTACGCAAATTCCAGAAAGATTTAACGCAGATGTCATTAAATTCTCAAGAAATGAATGTCAGCCGATTACGAATGGGCCTGCGTTCAATACAATCTCTCATTAGAGACTATTGTTTAGAAAACTGATTTGTTCATAGTTTCAAGTTTCCTGTACATACCTCGAGTTATTTTTTCGCTCGCATGCTTCTGGTGCCTTGAGCTGAATGAGGCGGAGCCTTTTGTTTCCTCTATCCGAGACGAGGAGCGAACACATGCTTGGTATGTACGTTAAACCGAAGTTGGAAGAAAAACGTGCGCTCTTGCCCACGCCATCAGCATAGCCAGAAACATTTGATTCTCCGGCAATCGTGTAAACCATGCCTGGATTTTCCGAGCAGGGATATAGGACATTTCAAATTTTCAGTATCAAAAGCTGATGATGGTACGTTCGAATACGAAGTGTTGAAAATTTAGAATGCGAACTCATGCTTAATACTTGCTTGTACTCCTGCGTGCTTGGGACAGTCGGGAATACCAGAGAGCGGAGTAGAATTGCATTTGCCTCACCTTTCTGGTCTATCTTCCTTATGACGTAGTTCATGACATCGGCCACATAAACATTGCCATCGTCATCGACAGCAAGGTCACCTGGGTGATTAAACATTGAGTACTTGCCCCAGCCATCCCTATGCCCCGCTTCGCCATCTTTTGATCCAGCATATTGACCAATCACAGTGTCTACAAAATTCAAGGTATTCAGTGTCAGATCGAAGGCGCTCATGTAAAGGATTCATGTAAAGCGATAAATGAATGGTATTCGAGGGCCGAAAGACGAGGTCCCATCGTACAACTTGCTCAGAGATACTCGTATACATGTGTGTAAGTCTGTTCAAAGTACACACCTTGTTCGATAGGTAGGATAAGTTTGAGAACTTGACTGGCCTCCTTATCGAGGGCATAAACAAAATTTGTCCCTGGAACTGCGAATATGCTGTAAATAGACACATTCACTTTCAAATTATCCAGAACAGTCCGCACTGCATACCCTTCGTCGTAATCGACATCTGCCAGGGGAAATCAGAGCTTAGATACCAGAAAATCTGACCAAACTGCAGATATAATTGAATTCAAAAGTGCCTATTTAAGTAAATCCTGTTCTCACATCAAGCTTCACCAGCTCACTGCCGCGAAGAAGAGCATGTGACCGCACAACTTGGCAGTGCGTAGAACTTCACACACGCCTCTTGAGAGAATAAAATGGTTGAAAACAGGCTCCATTGTGATGGGAAAACTCGTTCTTTCCTTCGATATTAAAACAATCCATGGGCTTTCTGCGTAGGTCTTGATTAAAATTGACTCATAGTTTCTCTCCCTAAGAACCCGACTTCACTCGACTGACGATCAGAAAGCAAGAACTTTTCCGTGCTCCTTTCTTTACTTCACGGAGACCTCTTCGTCCATGACATCTGCTTGGCTCGAATATTCACGATCGGACAGATAAAAAAAGGTGGCACACGTCTACCAAACTCCGGCTTACGGCACAAATCAACGAATTTCGAGATAGTGCTCCTTAGTCCCACCTTTCAAAATGAATTTCCAAAGATGGCAGTGGAGCGGTCCATTCCAATTCGCTTCTGTAGAAAAAAAAAATCAGAGCAAAACTCAGCGGAAATCATCGACCTACCTGAATGTTTTAACGACCCGATTTCTTGAGCTGCTGAGTCCAGCAGCTGCACTCGTCGACACCAGCTCAAGTTCAAGCTCGCCAAGAACAGGACCACGACAAGAACGCAACAATGTCCCTTCATGGCTCGAGACTTGACCTCCACATACGTAAAGTGGACCCTCCTCCTCTGGACTCTATCGAGCTCTTCACCCGCGCAACTCCAGATCGCAATTCTCTCGACGCTTCTCGCAGCGTGTTGTAATTTGCGAGCGGCTCATGGTTTCCAATGATCGCCACCGGCAGAGAGGTCGCTCCGTATTACGAACAGAATATAAGGTCTGAAAAATATCCTCGCGTCCTCTTCTCGGCGCGCGCCGCTCCCGAATCGCGAGTCTTAAGTGGCTGAGATCACAGAGGTCGCCAAATCGTGCTGAGCTCCTGGGCCGCGAACGCTGCGACGACGGCCGCTGGCCTTTCCACCAGGGGAAAAATACGTTGCGCGCTTGTCGAGCACGACGGCTGGCACTCTCTAGAACCGACAGGTGGTACGGATCATTCAGCCGCCCTTTCCAGTGCCTTGCCTCCAGTGTCAACGAGGACCTCATAGCTCAGACATTTCAGGGATGGGGAGCAAACTCGTCATCGCATGTGAGTACTGTATGTCTTTCATTGAGCTACAAATTTCACCAGGAGCTAGGCTCCCCACCGGTTCAGTTGAACAATTTGAATTATCTCACAATTATATTGATCACAGGTGTAATCTAAGTATGAATATTTCAAAAAAATGAAAATGCCGAGTTTTTTCCAGATTAAAAAGATAATAATATAAATAAATAGGACGTATGTTTTTTTGAATTTTTTGTCCAGATACAACCACCTCAGTGTTTCGATAATTTTTTTATCAGAATCTGAAATTTCATAATAGTTAATAAAATGCTTATACATAGCAATTTGTTTCGATCTTTCTATTCAATTCATCTTTTGTATCACCCCTAAACTAAATTACCTATTTGCTAAATGATAACGATATTCTTAGCCCTGAAGGTAATCAACACTTGTGAATAAAGTCAATCATATAAGTTACTGGTAAATGGAGAAGAGACAGACATGAAAGTAATTTCAGCTCTGTTTAACGAACGCTCAAGAGCCAAAATATGCAACGTGTGATATATATTGCATCTTTGTGATGAGTATCATTACAGAGCTCAAAATCATTAGTTCTTATCCTTAATCTCGTTTGGATGAACTTTAATTTAATGATACATGATACGAGGGTTCTATAAAGTTTTTGAGATTTCATGATGGTGTATTTATATCATCTAGCCACGTAATCATGACCAGTGTTCCTTTCGAAAGTACATTTTGAGATCCGATTTGATCGATCACGGTGTGTAACAAATTATACCAGCTCTAAACTTAGAGCTGCCAATATTGTTTTGTTAACTCACGCCTTCCTCTCACTGCAGAGGATGCACTTAGGAGCTATTATTACTGTACGAGAATGAAAATAAAATATTCTTTGGCTTCCGGTAAAGTGAAGAATGCATTATGGGAATAGTCTAGTGTAACCTGTCTGACTAACACCTTGCATAACCTCTTATGCAAGGTATAAGATAAGTATAGCCTATACTGTAAGCAATAGGTATATGAATCCCTGTGAGAATCAATGAAGAGCATCACAGAATCTAGAAGTCTAATTTTTAGACTTTGCTTCGTGCAAAATATTCACAGTGAGTTCAACAATTAGGCCTATCCCAACTGACACAGAAAATAATCGCTAAAGCAAAGAAAAGGTGCAAGCTTGTAATATATAGATAATCTAAAAAAATATTTCATGTTGATAAGAATGATATCCTATTCCACAGAAGGGAAGATATGTCAAACCCTCTCAGTGGGTACATATACTTCTGTCACAACTTGGAGGAAGACTAGAGGCATCATCTTCCAAAGTGATAAAGCAAGTTCCATGATAAATACTGAAAATATAGCAAGTTCCAAAAAGTGCCGAATCTTGGGGCATGTCACGCGAAGACTTTAGCGACCATGCTCCACCAATAACAAAAAATGAGCCTATACGAACTTCCATCTCTTGATGGTACTTCGAGACATAACTTTGCTCTCAAGCGAGGTGAAGTTCCTCATCATAACATTCGGAGCCAACCACAAGAGAACCACTCACATCGAAACCAGCCAGATCAAGTTGGTATCGACTTGAGTAAGACGCTGAGTTTAAAACATAATATATTAAGATCCAACTGAAAGCAATCTTCGATGAGGAAAGTCTCCCACGGTCGCACGTCCTGGCACCATCCAAATCGCATATACTTAGAGTGAGGCTCCACTAGTCTCTCACGCGCCTACATGAGAAGAAAATCCCATCCAGTCCAGTTTGGCTGGTTGGAGCCCACCCGAAGCAATCTGGAATTTGTACGTATAGGGAAAACATGAAGCATGTTAACATGACATTATTAGTTATTTGGACATTGGATAAGCCTTTGACTCAAATTGGAGATGTTTATATGCATTAATTCCTTATTTAGATTTTCGGCTACATTGAAATCTAACAATTAATGAGATTTTTGTGAAAACGTTATATTGCATTCCCAATTTTTAGTATTGAGATTGTCTTGTCAAGTCTATAGAGGTGTAAGTTTTATTTTATCCATATACATCCAATTTCATCTACATAAATTCAATAGCTTTGATAAATTATTCCCCATAGTACTTCTATGGTCATCTTACCAGTTTCGTTTCATTCACTTGATGGATTCTTCCGCTCATTTTCTTGCACTCTTGGATTTCACTTACGAGATTTCATGACCTCCTGTCTGTCATGGGATCCATGGGGGGTGCGGCTATCGTCTCCATCTTTTGTACATCTGAAATGAACAAAACCAGGGAAAATGTTCTGGCTCGACAACAGAGAGCATTCAATAAGGGAAATAATTATTGGTGGATTTTGAATGTCCGGGAGCATTCCCGCAGAATCTAGTAGCGCCAGATTTTCACGGTTGTAGGATGTCCACAACAGAAAACATTGAGTTATCTTGGTTCTCAAGTTCGTACTTAAAGGAAAGGGAGGTTTAGTTTATATATATTTATTTCGAAATAAATGCTATGCTATGTGTCCTCTTTGCTTTCGAGACATGTTGGGTCGAACCAAAGCGTCTATGACACACATACTTCTCTACACTGGTGAGGAAGGAGACTTGAGATTTCTCAGCCCTCCTCAAGAAATGTTCTCAATGTGGGCAAGAAGCTGTATCCTCTGGAGAGAGCTCTTGGCGTCAGAGGGTTGTGGAATGCGATGTTTGGGGTTTGGAATTGTACGGCATCGTGAATCTTGTAAAGCGACTAAAACCCGCACGTGATTGCTGATCACGAGTATTAGGAATTAACGGCCTGAGCGAGGCATTAATTGTGCCACTGCAACGATTCCTTTTTTGCAGTAAGCTCGTCCCTCACGCCTCGTAAGGTTTTCAGCCCCAGGTTACTTGGATGCACAGTTCATGGTGTTCATGGATTTGGAGCTGAAGTAGCGAGAACTCGCACCTGCCAAGGTCCTCTTCTCGACCCCAGAACGTGGAGATTCGAGGCCTACACAAGGCAGCTGAAAACTCCTCTCCACCACCGCGTGTCAACAACACCGCTTGCCAATTCACAGCATAAAGCTCTCGATGCAGAACACAATTCCCGGAATAGAAGTGTTATTCAGGATAGACAGCGAATTCTGCCACAAAGCCGTGGCGTTATTCGACACCTGCCAATTGCAACATCGTTCTACTTAGCACAACGAACACAAATCACACAGCGAATGTCCCACTGCAGTGCTGCGGACATGCCTCCATTCCCTCCAGGTTTTTCTTAGACAGCGCACAAACTTAAACACGCCAGCACGCTTAGATCACTCTGGTTCAAACACGATCTCTGTTTCCCACAGGAGCAGCAGACGACGATGCTGAGAGGCAATTTACGATCCTCCTTCTAGAGCCAAAGGTCAGGAAGTCGCTGTCAGGCAGACGTAGCAGTTCTCTATGCTCCACGTGGCGCGAAGGTCTTGGACACTTGTGAGCCCGATTCCCCAACACAGATTTGGCGTCCTAAAGATGGGGCGGAATTTGATCCCCAAATTCAAATCAAATCAAATCACTTGTGCACTAGGCGCTAACGTCAAGCAGGTTTACGAGCCCCAGGGTCAGAGTTGCGAACGTACAACGCCGTCATGCGCCGAGAGAGAACTGCCCGACGACCAGGAAGATCGGATTCCAGACTTGGGCATGCTGGGTCTGGAGGTCGAGGACTCGGAGGAGAACAGGCCTCCACTGACGACCATGATAGAAGTGTTGTAATACTCTCGGAGCTCAGTGATCTGGCCTTCGCAGATTGTCCAAACGTGGACCCACGAGCTCCAGTCCGTGCGGCCGCTACCTTCGACAAACACCTTGTTGGCCAAGAGGCCGAGCTTCGTGACGGCGAAGATGAAGGCGCCGCAGGGAGTCTCGCCCGTGAGGAGAGCCTTCATGTGCTGGTGCGAGGGCGGCCCGTGGTACCACCACTCGATCTCCGGGGCCAGCAAAGACGTGATCGCGTCCGTGTTCTCGATCGCAATTGCGGCATACAGAGTGTTGGCGAGCAGCTCATTGTGCTCCTCCTCCGCTGTCTTGGCTCTCGTCCTTGGGATTGCATGGCCTACAGCCAGGTTGAACTGTCTCGAGCAGTCCTTCCTCTGGACTTCCAATTGCACGCACAGCTCACCACTCTCGTCGCCAGACGCTGCCGCTCCTTCCCGGTCCTTGATCCGTGGGGTAAAGATTTCGCCTCGGAGGGAGATTAGACTCATGCGTCTCGGTTCGCTGCCTTCCAGCCCCGTGCGACAGAGAGCTCGACTCTTCCACCGAGCGTGGGATCAGAATCGCTTGCCCTGACGCAATACAGATGAAATTCTCTGTCAACCTGTTTCTGTTCAAAACAATGCGGGGCTCTCAAGGCACCTGATTCCTGATTCACCTGGCAAATTCCTGCACATTTCCGCCGGCAACCTCATCGCTTCACAGGCACGATCTCAATTTGCATAATCAGGAGATATTCACTGGCCCCCTAAATCAGCTCCAGCTTCTCGTGATAGCTACGGCAGAATCTGGGTGACGAAAATTAAAACCTGCGCCGCCCTGAGCCCTCAAACCTCCTCTCCAAAAGCCACAGGCGCTAAAAATCCGGATGATGGGGATGGATTATCTTTCCGAAATTCAGTGAGTCGTGTCCCCTGTGTCAGTGTTCTCATATTCCGATAAGAGGTGCTTGCATTCTCATATTGAAATTCGAAAACAGGTCGAGAAATTTCGAGCACTCAAAACCGTGTCGTCTTCTTTTCGGAGTCGCTCGTACTTCTCGTCTTGCTTATGTATGCAGTTTAATGTAAGGAGCACATCATCGGGATCGTACATTATTAGAGGACCGAAGTAGGTTTCTTCAGGACCATCCGAAAGCTGGTCTCATCCGGTTCGAGCAACGAGAATGGCCCTCGAGACTGTGTACGAAAGGAGCCTGCGCGACGAAGCATGTCGTCGACATGCAAACGGAGGAACTGTGCACAGTGGGCGCAGAGATCGAACGAAGATCCTCCGGAAGGGTGCAGGGAATCTCTCCGTGGGAAAGCCTGGAGAGTCGAGAAGGCGCGCGTCCATACGCCTGTACATCTACGTCTCATGATCTTACGCATACGCTTCTACAGCAGGGCCCGCCACCGCAGTCGCTGAGCATTTCGTACAATACGGACGCGCGGGACGAGAGGGTGAACGATGCCGCAGTGATCGTCGCGAGCATCCGTGGGGCCCACACTCATGAATCTACTGTACAGTACTTTGGATGCGCATGCACTGGGCCGTCGAGAGATTCTATTCCAGAAATTTAACACCCTTCATCGCCCTCGAAACCGTGGTCGATTTGATGTCGTGCAGCAGAACTGCGACGTCGGGAGTCGGCCTGCGAGTGGGAGACATCATCGTCACGAGAAGCGTGACTTACGAATTACGAATTACGGGCAGCAGTACGAACAATGTCCATGGAGCCTACTGCCCATATTCTACCCAGTTCTGCGTGTCAAATTACGTGGTAGCCGCTCTGCGCAGTGAGCTCATCTTCCCCTCAGATAGACCGGGAAAACTGTCCGTCACGTGAGAAGTAAATTTGAGCGTCGGTCTTGACGGACCATGAGTATCATCCGTGGACGATGGATGGAGGATGGATGGATGGATCTGAGGCTGAGGTTTCCATCCGGTCTACAAGTGCAATACCTCGGAGCCGGAATTCGGCTTCTGAATTTCAACCTCCCGGGGGGTTCAGAAGAGGCTGCCCGCGGCACCTCACGCAGCTCCAGCTGACAGCGTCGAACACATCCATTCTGCCTCATGAAACGTTGTGTGGTCTGCCCGGCGCGTAAATTTCGAACTGTACTTCTTTTCTCCACTGTTCGATAACGGTCAAGAATCGGCTGGAGTCCGTTCTTTGGACAGACCGTTATCAGCCCAAAAATCAAGTCATTCATTTTGGCGGACATGACGTACGCCTCGATGGATTGCGTGGGCCTCGAACTTAAAACACCCTGGGAATCGATTGTAAAGCGAAAGGTACAATGCTTCTTTCTTTCATCTTAATTGGTGAGACTTTTGTATGAAAGATCGAAGGGATGAGGGACTATTTTTATAGGATTCAGATATCGAGGATTATGGCATGTTGGTTAGGTGCAGCACTGGACTTCCGAAAACTATCTATCTACATGTAGGACAGGTCCTGATTCTGTTGACTAAAACTACTTGGAAGGGGAAGGAAGTAAACTTTTTTCCAGGTCACTCTTACTGTCCTCTGTATCTTTACTAACATCTACTACATAATCTGCTCGAGGGTTCAAGATGTAAGGTGGCGGAGATTTCGATGGCGTCTTTCCGGAGCTCGAGAACTTGTTTGATTCTAAATGAAGAGCGAGAGAGTTCGCCATCACTCCTATCGAACTGATGCCCATCAACGCACCAGCGAGGGAAGGCGTAAGCATTGTGTTGGTGATGGGTAACAAAACTCCCGCTGCTACTGGTATGCCAATCTGCAAAGCACATGAGTCTTTACCATCAGGATGTGTCTAAGAGAATGGGGCTCTGCAACTCATTCTCGTAGCAAGGTAGTACAACCAGAAAACGTCTAGTTAATGTTCGGTAGTGCTGACATAGTTCACAGAAGTTTATATTTTTCAATACTGAGGTCTTTCATAATACTCCGAAGGGGAAGGAAAGTAACTCACAATATTGTACATAAAGGCCCACCACAAATTTTGCTTGATCTTTCTGAATGTGGCCCGACTTAGTTCCATTGCGTCTACCACCTGCGTATGACATTAAAGACCTTCGCATGAGATATCTATTATAAACGCGTGCCGGTGAACCCTATAAGAGAACATCTCCAAACTTCGGTACCGAAAGGATTTGCAAGCAGACGTTTATTTGAACAATGTCATACAAAAAATTTGTGAAAAGGTTGCAAAGGGCCCTCTATTGGATCTTCAACTCTTGTGGTTTCAACAAGTTTGATCAAACTTAAACAAAAGTTCTCATGTCTTTCCAGATAATAATTATACTATCTAGATAGATACCAACACATTTCCTCTTAAGTTCAACCTGTTAAATGCGAAAGTGTTGATAACAAAATGATGGCGAACAAACTTCTTTTGGCGAAGAAGAGAAATGAGTAGTTTGTGAGGTGAACGATACAAGGTCTAAACACTGTGAAGGATGTTATAGAATTGGACTGAAAGCAGAATGATACTGAGCCAACTTCAGCTGGGTAGATTTGCAAACCTGACTCAATTTGTCTCCCATGAGAACTACAGATGCGACTTCACTGGCCGCTCCAACTCCCCCAACCATAGCGATTCCAACTTCAGATTGGGCCAAAGCAGCTGCATCGTTGACTCCGTCGCCAACCATAGCAACCTTCTTACCCTCCCTCTGTAGCTGCATGATGTACTCGGCTTTGCCTTTTGGTTTTACACCAGCGAACACCTTTGAATTGAGCACGAGTCCACAATTACATATTCTTTCGAAAAAACTGTTTTCTTGGGTGTACTTCATGAAACAAATCACCCTTATTTCAGCCGAGAACTTGCTATACGCCTGCATAGCAAATCATCAGGGGAAGACTAACTATACGCGTATGAAGGAATGAATGATACCTGGTCCTTGGGGATCCCAACTTTCGCCGCAACAGCCTCCGCTGCTGCCTGCTTATCGCCCGACAACATTGAGGTTTGAATCCCCATCATTCTGAGAGCGGTAACAGTTGCGACAGCTTCTTCCCTAATTTCGTCCATCATTGTGACACTTCCCGCGAGCTGATTGTCCACCCCTAGAAATGCATCACAATCGATCACCTCATAAGAGAGAGCATCAGGGTACACACACGAAGAAGTCTTAGTTCTAGTCACATCTGAGCATGCACAGACTGCGAAGATTCTAGTTCCCGTCCTCGGATGCGATCTTCATACAGAACTCTTGTCAAGTCTGTCAAAGCCCTCTAGCAAGAACTTCAAATGCAGGTGCAGTCTGGATGAGCATCAAACCTATGTATATGACAGACTGGCCTTCCAAGGATGCTTCCAAGTCTTCAGGGGGACTTCCAAAGGCTCCATGTCTTATGTAAGAATGTCACTCGAGTGGATTAGTACAAAGTTTGATCCCGTTGTGCTATAAGAAAAGACTGACTAACTGAACCTGGGTACTTACTGCTCGCCGTGTCTTGAGCACTCGTAAACGGGAAAACCACATTTTCGATTTCATTCCAACCTGACTAGTTACTAAAATATGCCGCTCTTATCTACATACCTTTGCAACCATTCTGTAGTGCCTACAGTCACTCTTTTCCCTTCCACGATTGCCATTGCTCCAGATCCGGGCTCCTGCTCGAATGTACCATCTTTCACCTAACAAGTTCCAATTGACGAATCAAATTGAAGGAAGGTTTGAAATGTTCACATCGTCAAGATTATTTTTTCAAGGCCAGCCTAGAAAACATCTGCTCAGGGCATGTGTTTCGCCTAAGATTCAGTTCCTACACGAAACACATATATTACCCATTCTTCAACTACAGAATCAGATCAATTTAAGATATGATCATGAGTACTCTCTTGCCACATACTTCTGCATATCGGCAATCTGCAGCAGCTGCAGCTTGCACCAATGCTTTTGCGATTGGGTGAGTTGTACTGCGCTCAACTCCTGCTGCCAGGGCTAACAGCTCGTTCTCACTCCAATTCATACCGCTTATTCCACTGGCAAACCCACATCACGTCATTATTCCAACTTAAGTGAGTGATGTGAGTGCATTCTAAGCATGATCTGACATCCAACGATATCTCTGACATTCGGCAACTTCCGGATTCCAAGTGTGAGAAAAACATCTCAGGAGTGAGACAAACATTCCTAGATTAAACTAGTAGTAGTTCGAAGTCTCTCACACCTAAAATTAGTAGAAAGTGGAAAACATACTCCAAAATTGAATCATCCTTGCTTGTGGTGGGGATGACTTTGGTGACCACAGGTCTTCCTATAGTCAGAGTACCAGTTTTGTCAAAAACAATAGTGTCTAGTGTTGAGATCTTTTCCAGAATGTCGCCACCTCTTATAAGCAAGCCCTTCCGTGCACCTAGTGAAGTTCCAACCTGGAAAGGACATGATCCGTGTTTAGTAGCAGATCACAGTTCGGCCACACATTTTAGACAGGAAGTGTTCCTCACTGCGACTGATTTGAACGCATGCAGACTTGTTTATGTTCATACAAAAGCTCAAACAACATTCCAACATCCAGTGCGAAAGTTGAAACTTTGCTCTGACGACAGATGTGAAGAAGTGCTGGATTATGGGCAATTACACATGACAGCAAAAGCTAACACCATACCAGAACGGCAGTTGGAGTAGCTAGTCCAAGTGCACAAGGGCAGGCAATAACCTGCACATCCAATTCGCTCGTGAGGAAGTAAATGGTACAGCATATGTGCTCTAATGTGCTGGGTATCTTAGTCCTCAGAAGCTCCTAAAAGCACCTAAACTGGAATAGCATATTTCCTCATTTCCTAAGACGCACTCACCAAAACGTTGCAAGCTAATTGCAGCCCAAGCAATACAGCGCTCCCAGCCGGCACCACAGCTGGAAACAGTTGTTGTCCTAACGTGCTCCAAAATGCAAAAGTTGCTCCTGACAGAGCCATCACTCCGTAGCAAAACTTTCCTGCCACCTGAGTTCACTAAGTGATAAGTAGTCGGGTCTGGTTCAAGAAAAATATAATCATGCAGAATGAGAAGGTATGATTCAGATAACGAACACAGAGACCTAACTTAGACACAAATTCCACGTGACAATCTTCAGACGCAACACGGGATTCCTAACCAGACAATGAACCCGAATAAAATCGTTACAAATTTGAGATATCGAGGTGGTGAGTACCTCGTCAGCAAGCCGCTGGACGGGCGCTTGTCTTGTTTGTGCATCCTCAACCATACGTACAATGTCCCCTAACACTGTCTCACCACCAGGCCTCCTAGCTTCCACACTCAAAGTACCATTGTAGTTGACGGTTCCAGCGCTAACTTCATCCTTTTAACCAGGAGAATTGAAACACCCACACATTGCAAAGTGAGACTCAACACATTGGACAGGCGTCAGTCCTAGGTTGATGTTCAAAACTGTAAACAAGCAAATCTTGACAAGAGTGACCCCACATAATAAAAAGCACGCGGGTCTTAAAAAACCTGGGTGAGGAGCTTACCCCAATCTCTTTCAAAACTGGTAAAGGTTCCCCGGTAAGGCTCGATTCATCTACAGTACTCTTCCCACCTCTCACAACACCATCCACGGGTATGCGATCCTAGACAGCGTGAAAAAAAGTTCCACTTCTGGTTACAAAAACACTTCGTTAACAATCATTTCTGGGCATACATGAAGGTACAAAACGACTTTTATTATCAGAACAGAGGTGACACTACATCGTCAAGAGCTACTTACACGAATACCTGTCCACACATTATCGTGGTAGGACACTTTTTTTTCTCAGTTCATAAGAAATAAAACAAGTGCGCCAAATAGATCTCTGTATTAGAAGCCCAAGCAGATGAGAAACGTACTCCAGGAAGAACCATCACCGCATCACCGATGGATAAGCTTTCCGCGGGAACTTCCATCGTACGTGAAGCATCCCCACCATTATTCACTATGAGACGTGCCTTAGTAGGTAGAAAGTTTAATATAGCAGTCATGTCACTACTGGCTTGAAGTTTTGCTCGTTCTTCTACAGCTCTTCCCAACAGAACGAAAGCAAGTAACATAACCGGCTCTTCGAAAAACGCTTGCCAACCCTAGTTGTTTCACCCAACAATGCACGGCAGGATATTAGAAGTACTGACGTTATGTAAACCTACGACTTGCATCTTTTCCTCTTCCAATTGATGGCTTCTGAATAATCACTTTGAAAGCGACGGAAAGAAGAGTGTCTGAATCATCAATCTACCCCTAGAAAAGTCCAAAGTGATTGGATAGACACTCTGATCATGATAATGAACACTGTTGCTTTGGTGTAAAGAGTGATTTTGCTGCATTGACATAAACAGCAGAAATCTTCGGCATGTGAGAAAGGTTGGGTACAATTGCTCGTAGGACTGGTACAAGTAGGGAGTAGATTACCAGCTTCGGTAGTAATACAGCAGCAGTGCTGACAGCAAAGGATGAAACAGCCCCCAACCCCACAAGAGTATTCATATTGGGAGATCTTCGCTTGAAACTTTCCCATCCATCCACAAGAAGTTTACGACCCGGACCAACCAGTGCCACCAACGATAGTCCCATGTGGAACCCGGTTGAGTGGAAAAAGTGGGCCCATGGCGGAAGTACATTCATGACGAAATGGGAGGCATGGCCAACCAGACAAATGGCTGCCAGTGTCCATGCCACTGCAAGCCTTCGTCCTGATCCATACAGGTGACGCCGAACAGAAATAAGAGACACCACGCCTTACTATAGATAATGCCTACCATGAGTCTCAACAAATTCACACGTTGATCCAACTATCCTACATATTCTACATTCATGTTCGCTTCGCACTGAGGATATCAATAGTACTGCGAGATAAAATCAGTAGCAAGCACTTATATCAACGAACAGAACAGCAGGTGACTTCTAAGCGAAGGCCTCTAAACGCTTAGTTACTACAAAATGGTAAATATAATTGCTGATGACCTTGCTGGCTAGATAGCCCATAGATTTCCTCGCTTCCTAATGAGACTGCACTGGTTGTATTTGAAACAAACAGTCAACACAGATTTCGCATGTACGCGTACTACACAAAGTTGACAGCACAATGCAAAAGAATACAACAGAGAATGCCTAACTAGAAAGTAAGATCTATTAAGCGAAAAAATACAAATTAAATTTGACTGCATACACACCGCTATCTTTCAGGCGAGCAATCCTCTCTTCTCGCTTTCTCACAAATGAAGGCTTCCCGGAATCTGTATTTAGATCTGAACACGTACTTTCAAGAGTAAAGATCAGTATGTTCAGTGACCGCGGCTCAAATCTTTCAAATACGTTCAAGCAAACAGACTAGATCTTATTCCTCCTACTCGACATATACCATGATTGTGTACAGCCACACACATAGGTCTGATTCAGAAGATATGACTTTGATCACCAATCCGATCATGATGTTCTCCTTTCTGAGAATTGTGATAAGCGTTCAAGATAATTCATGATAATAGTTCGAAAAGATGAGATATGCCATACTTTGTACAGACAAAACCACATTTACATGATCACCAACGCTTAGATCTTGGCATTCATCTTCCATACATCATTCAATTTCCACTCTTGACCTCAAGGAGAAGATCAGATGTGCCATTAAGCAAGAAGACGCACAGAGCAACGCATTCAGCAGCTCCACAGCTCACGCCGTCTGCGGAGCTGCTATGCCTCGGTTGATTGCAAATACTCATGCTCAGTCAAAATTAGCCATGAAAGGCGAAGTGGAAAAATAAAAGCAAGAATCAAGAATTGACCAACGCAATAGATAAGTAGATAAGAACGGACATGATAAAAAGTGACAAATTCAGTCCAAAAAGTTTCTAGTTATTGCTTATCATGAAATTCAACCTCATGTAATTGCTGAACTCTCTGAAATGCATTCATTTGGAGAAAGCTTTTAAATTTCCATAACCGACTCGCTAGCGCAAGATCAAAAAACTCATTTACCCACAGTGACTCAATTGTGGGGGTATTGTCATCCTTTATTGAACTACTTGTAAGAATGATACATGAAATGGGAGTATAAATTACACGTGGGGCTTAAGAAGATCTCTTGAGACTCTACCGTTCAAGCCCTCATAGCACAAGTACTTGACAAGCAGAAAATGCTAGAAAAGTCTATTGACCTCTCCGTAGTGGAGAAGGCGATAGATAAAATCCCCTTTCCTAAGAGCCAACAAGACTTATTATTGCTTGCGGTAGCGGCTGCTAACTTTCGTGTAGCTCAACATCTCGGTCGGTCATACCACCGTTTCTGTCAGCACACACGCAGCTGCACTCAGTCAATCTCAAAGAAACCATGTAGCTTTGCACAAAGGATCTAGGCTTTGGATAACATCTCCGAGCCACCCAAGCTATACTTGACAACAAAGTGATTATTTAAAGCACTGAACAGAGAGACAATGTACGGGAAAGTTCTGAGAGGATTTGGGAATCAGAGAGCATGGTTCAATCTATAAGCGTTTGTTTTTTGATACTATATTTACAAAACGTGTGGAGAATTTATAAGACTGAGTGACAGCTTCTTCATATAAGCTGTCACTCAGGCTTCACCGTTAGAGAGATCAAGATAAAATAGACCTACTCACATGATCGGACTCAAGAGATTTCCTGAAGACTGACTTTATTCATTTCAGTCAATAAACAGACATTAACTTATTGTTCAATGAAGCAATCAGGTTAATCCGCACCATCCTAGACACAAACTTGGCGAAGTTGAATGCAACACACATTCACCTTGGCGTACATTGTCAAAGGAAAAGCAGTAAAAATTACCTCGAACTGTAGACTTGAAACCACAGCTGCTAAGATGTTTCGCGAGTGCCTCTCCAATTGCATGCTTAGCAGTTTTCCACTCAGGTGATGGTTGAGATCCCCGAACAACTTGAACAAAAGCGGTCTCAGTAGCAAGATTCACATTGGCGAGAGTCACTTGTGGCTGCAAGATATAGTTGGAGAAAGACAAAGCACCACATGGTCAGGTGGCTTAAGGAGCCAGACACTTCACAGCAAATCAAATAGCAGAAAACAAGGTAAGGACAACTTGAGAAAGGCTGAATTAATTTAGTGATCAGTTTGAGAGCCTCGACAATATGCATCAAAATTCATTCTGGAACAAGTCTAGATCGGTCCTGCGATGAATTACCTGGGACTCCAATATCCTCTTGACCGAAGCTGAGCAACCACCACATGACATACCCTGATAAATCATACCAGTAGACAATTCATACCATCAGGTGGAAATCAAGAAATATAACTGAGTTTTAAAATTAAATAAAAAACCAAATAAAGTGATGGATTTCAATATTTTCACCAAGCATCAGTCTCCACGTTTCTCTGTCAGGTCAAAGTGGCCAATGTAGTCGTCTAGGAGAAGTGTCAAATTGACCAAATAACATCAGTAGGATATAAGATTCCTCAAAATTTGAGATGGGAACGATGAGTTGGGACAAAACTTACCCCAACGTCCAGAATTATAACGTCATCTGCGACCTCCCCACCAAACGGAACGTCATCGCTTTGCTCCCCACCCACAGCCGCAGCTCCCTTACTGGCTGCAGCCCCAAACCCATCACCACCTCCACCTCCTCCACCACCTCCGCCCTTCCCAGCATACCCTCTTCCACCACCGCCTCCAAAAGTGTTGACGGTGCTCGACAAGCAAGCCAATGCCCCCGTGGGTAATTTCGCATGGCACTGATGACACAAAGCCGAATTCTTCACTGCATCGACAAAATGACGCAATTGACCGACAGATCTACTTCCTGGAGCGATCCTGAGGGCGGAATTTGTCCTCCACAGCCATGCATCCCCCAAAGGTGGAGAAAACTTATTAGTGATCGGAACCCTCAAACCCTGTACAGCCTGCATTCCCACTCGGAGGCCATTTCTCGCCAATGCTAATCTCAAGCCCAGACTCAGCAAATTGGAAGGCTCCTGCCTCTGCCAAGGGCGGGAGGCGTTGGTCGGAATCAATGTCGTCAAGCCCTGAGCTGCCAAACCAGTGCACAGACATGGCGCCTGGACCGCTAAGTCAGTCGCCAGAAGACCCATCTGCCTCATGGCGGATGGAGGAGCTCGCCCTCCGCAGCAGAGAGTTCGTTTTTCTCGTAAAACTCTCGATACAACTCATTTGACTCCAAACTCTTGAACCATAAACCCTGGGACTCGAACTCCTGGCGGATAAGGTTCGAACCTCTTCCGCTAATCTGGTGGAGTTTGTCCGCATAGACGTTAGCGACAAATTTGAACTGCTACTTCCGGATCAGTCACATCGTAATCTGCCTATTCTCCAAGGACGGCGATGTTCACGCTTAATGTTAGAGTGATTAGTCAGGTATCAACGAATTAGTACGAATAAAGTGGACACAAGCGGATAGTACGTGCGCCAATGATAATCAATGTCAGAGTCCTGTGTACGTACGTTCCGCGATGAGGGTTGGCGTGTGCCAAGAGTTTGGAGCGGCCGAGAGTGAATGAATGGTAAGATGAAAGAGTCCTATCCTCCAGATCTTCTACTTTTTCCCCCAAAAAGGAGGAGAAGACCATCAAGTAACGGGGGCCCTGTGGATAGCACGAAGTATAGGAAGACCACATCATCCTCAAAAGAAATGAAACGGGTGACCAAGGGTTTGTCACCTCCATCGTCCCAGATTTCTCGATTATCTCTACAATTCCCACTATTCGCTCTAGTTACTTTTTTTTCATGACTGGACAATTTTTATCATAATATTATAGAGAAACGTCCGTATCGCGTAGTAGTCTACTCTCTCTATCATGAACATGTAAATATTTTCCATGCTTCAATACGAACTCAAAGTTAAAATAACAAAGACTTTGAAATCTTTGCCTAACCCATACCTTGGTTTATCCTACGTCCAAAAAGATGGAGATCATCCTTGTGACCATATGTGTATATATATATATATATATATATATATTAACCTTGGACCAAAAAAACGTGTTAATGATGTGTCCAAAAGAGACATGCATCTCTCACCCAAACAGATGTGCAATCACCACTACTCTAATGTCTTCATAGGTAGCTCAACTCAAATAGCTATCGAGTCATGGGAACAATTGTTTTACTTGTGATAAAATAACATTTATAAGTAGCCAAACAAATTGAAGATATACATACCAAGCTAACATGAAAAATTATCATATTGAAATTAGCAAGTAAATGAATGATATGTAATAAGGTTAATTTTTTCTTCTTTCTCTAAATTTTATTGAATTTATATTTCTTAAATTTCAAGAATTTTTCATACCTATGATTTATTAAAAAGAATATTAAAAATATTTTTATAATTTTCAAAAATATTTTTAGAACAAAACTTAAAATCAGTTTATTAGCTAAACTTATCAAATAAAAAAATCGAGAAGATATTCAATGAATGTGCAACAAATTTAACATTTTATATCAGTTTTAAATGCTAAAAATGAAAAATGTTAACTGAAACTAATAATGCTTATATGTGTCATTTTCAAGGAGATTATTATCTCACCCAAAAAATCACATCTTGTCTTGTATACGTGTGCAACATTCTATTTTTTCCCGAAACGATACATTTTAAACATATTCAATTTTAAAATTATGTCATCAAAAAAAAATTTAAACTAAATTTCCATTGAATTTTCTTTTCAATTTAATAGATATTTTCGTAATAATATTTTTTAAAAATATAGTTATACTACAAAAAATATTGCTTTTACATTTTCTTTTGAAACATACAAGTATAATATCTAAGATTAGAAAATCGTTGATCTATAGTTCTAAATATGAAAATTTATTGAATCTCTAAAAGCTTCTTAAAAACACAATTTATGAAGTTTTAAGTTATTTAGTATATGATATATTATTTTTAATTTAATTTTAATTTCTTGAAATAAACATCTACACAATGCTCAGAGTTGGTAAGATTGATTGATCATGAAATATTAAATATATTATGAAAATTTATACATCGAAATATATCACAACTTCAGCTTAAAAGATGAATGACTTTACAACAAAATTATTATATATACTTTTATATATACTAAGGAAAAAGCTTTGAAATTTAGAAAACATTGCTTAGTTGTGATCAAATTATACATATGATTGCTATTTATTGAGCTTCACATATAACACTTAATTTTAATATATAGACCTCTTACGATTAAGTTTAAACATAAGGAATGTATCAATATCATGTCAATCACTATGGTTTTTATTTATATGAGTACTGAACACATTGTACACTTACGAGATAGAATGATCAAATTTTCAGTATATGATGACAAAACATATATATGTGGCAATTATGTTTATCGAAAATACTTGAAGTATGACATATGGTAATAAAATTACCATAATGTTTGTTTCAAACTATAATTACTTACACAACATAAGAGCCAATCCCATGATTAGTAATTAGATTGAGCGATGCAAGTAGGAAAGTTTCAAAACGGACAATTTTTTAGCAAAATGGGTACAGATAGAATAATGTATGAATATTTATAAAAATTTTATATGTATAAATATTATAAAAAATGGGTGCTACTAGCTATACTTCAGTTTAGGTTAATTATTCATCATCCTACTTTACTAATGTGAGTTATAATTAGCCAAGTCATCCAAGTTCTTGATTGGGCACTTTCGGACCCACACAACTATGTACTTGGGTTCGTTCTCTGGTGCCACCCAATCGTACTTGACAGATGAGTTTCTGTTGACTACGGTTATAACACTGTCGGGAGATTTTAGCAAATGATAGTCGTGTTGCAACCTGACAAAAAAAATTCATCACCTCATATTCATGTGAATCTACAAATTTGTGCTTGCTAGTGCTGCCAAAGCCCCATTCCAAGCGCTCGTCTTTATCACTAACAACTACAGCCTCAGAATTGTTTTCACCTTTTGCCTTCTCTTTCTTCAGAGCATTTTGCCAAATGCTCACAACAATGTCCCAACAGATTCAAAGAAAACTGCGCCGAGATGTCCAAGAGGTTTGGCCATAGATTGGATCAATCTCTAGAGGTCGGAACCCTGTCTCCAAGTTTTTCTCAGCAAAAAAATTCCTTGCTATACATGACACAAAACAACCCATATGACTGAAGAAATCATAAATCTTGTCAAACCCAAAGCCTTGAACTCATACTTTGCCATCTCTTCAAAGCATTTCGCCAAATGCTCACAGAAATGTCCCAACAAATTCAAAAAAAATTGCGCCGGGATGTCCAAGAGGTTTGGCCATGGATTGGATCAATCTTTAGAGGTCGTGACCAAATCTGTACGTTTTTCTCAGCAAAAGAAATTCTTGCTTTACATGACATAAAACAACCCCCACAACTCAAGAATTCATAAATCCTGTTAAACCCAAAGCCCTTAACTCATATTTGGTCCATGAAGTGTCGAAAAACAGAGTGCTGCAGCCAACCAACTCCTACACAAAGAATTCTATTGACTGAAGAATGTCTATGTTCTCTATTGTTGCTCTCACCACTTGTGTGACTTGGCTAATTATACTCACCCTAGTAAAGTATGATGAGGATCAATTAGCCTAAACTGAGTCATAACTAGCTGCTTTCTAAAAAATATATTAAATTGATTATATATAGTTGATCAATCAATAGATTAAAAATATAAATTTCAAGTAAGAATTGAAAAAATAATATTCCAGATTCAAATTTTTTTTGGTTTGAGTAGTACTTTTAATAATTGTGATGATGGTACACCTTAGTGAATAAGTTTTATATTCCATATGGTATGATATATTCTATATTTAAATGAAATTGACTAAAATAACTATCTATATATTTAACATATTAATCATGATGTAAATGGCCTCATTGGAGTTAAATAGGATTGGACAAACGTGTTGTTTACACGGGGATGAAAAATCAAGAGTATGCTTTCAATCGTTCTCGGAAGTCTACTTCGTATTTTAGGTGGTCTGGGCCAATTCTTTTTTTTTACCCAAGACCTCTCAACTGGTATGTTAGAAAAATCTAACATACCAGCTGCCGATCAGAACCAAATCACAACTACTCGAGAGAAAGACACACGTCACGCGAACCATTTTGCACAAATAGTTCTCGAAACCAATGTGCAACACTATCATACTCGTTCAGTGTCATTGTGTTCAGTTCAGAAACTCGTAGACTCCGATAAATTTCGTGCGAGAAGAATCGAATCTATGGTTTGATTCTTCTGATTAGATCTGATTTTACCTCGTAAAATTCCTTACCACTTTTGTCCATCGCCTAGTTTTGATTCCAATAACTAAACTTTTTTGGCACAATTCTACTGCATAACGTCAACCCTACATCAACTTATTATGTGGTACTTCTCCTCAAATTCTGCATGCTAGCTCTAAAAGAATTGGTACCGATAGAGTACCGTTTTGAATTACGGGTCATAATGAAAGGCATGTGCGAAATCTTTGTACAAAAACTGTGGTCATAGAAATCATCTGTACTGGACACCATTTTTGCCACCATTTTTGCCACCCTCAACCTGTCGAAGGTAGCCAAACTGACAAAACATGTTTTCTTGCGACGTTTTCAAATTGTGATAGGAATATGCACGACGAAAATGTAAGGTGCTGCTATCCCCGTCTGTAATACACTGTGTATGCATACAAAAGTCAGTGACTACTGCGATATACACGGCGGCGGTATGTGAAACGAAGGGTGGCCACTCTCAACGTACAATGATAATACGTTTTGCACTGAATTACAAACAGAGGTTTCAGATATTTTGATGGCAGCAAAAAAAATAATTCACTGTTTATATTTTCATGTGATGTGGATATGTCTTTTTTGTCTGTAACTTATATTGATCCCGGGATCAATATAAGTTATTCTTGCGTTGTGTGGAAGCATATAATATAATTGAACTGTCATATCAAGTGTGGACATCATAAGAATTCTTCTTTCGCGGACCGGGATGTCCACTCGAGTTGAACCTCCGAAGAATTTTTAGCTTGACTCGCGTTACCATCTATCTATAGAGATAGTACAAATGTCCTACTGACAGAAATTTTGTATAAAAGATAATGAATTTCGGTTGAAGCAAATGCATTATGAGAACATGAGTAGATGTTATATACTACTTCAGTTTCTGACACATTTGTATCTCATCCCAGAAAGTTTTGTTCCTTGATCAGAAT